ATATATACTTATATATATATATATATATACATATATTTATATACACATATATTTATATACACATATATTTATACACATATATATATATTTAATGGATTTATATATATTTTTAAGCATTTAATTAGGTAACTATATTTCCATTGTATTTTGTTTCTATTCAAACAGGAAGAACAAATGAAAGTCAAGGATCTTCGTTTAAAATTTATGAATGAAATTCTCAGTGGAATAAAGGTAAATATTATTAAAATTTTAAAAATAAAAGCATAAAAAAATGATTTACTTTTTAGATATATGTTTGACATTTTGAAAAATATTGTTTTTACGATCAGCTTAACCCATAAACTAAGTTTTGCTCATTGTTCATAGAATCATATTTTTATAATTAAAAATATAAAGCAAAATGTATTCTTTTGATTTCTTTCGTGGACAAATAAATTTCATTTGAAATATTTTGACGATAATTACATATAAGCATACACATTACTGTACATTGATTGTATGTCAATTCGTTTATGCACTAGCAGAATTAAAAGACATAATTCGACATAATTAATAGACAAAAATAAGACAACTGTTACGAATCAGAATTTAATTTTGTTACCACTTTAATCTTCCTGAAAAGGATTAAATGTGTGAAAAAATTCCCAGTCACTTAAATTTGTCAGAATAAAAAAAACTGCTTGAAAAAATATGGAAATATATCTTCGCATAACCAAATCAATAGTTCCTTTCATTATCTACGACTGTCACAAATACGTGCCAGCAAAAAGCCCTATCAACCAAGGTAAAAAGATGAAACTGGTAATCAAAGTAATTCGTTAGCAGCTTATTTGTGGGCGGAGTTATAATTGTTTGATTTATTTAATTCACCATTAGTTTGTTCAAAATAAAACTAATTATACTTCGAATTAACATTGATTAAATGTATGATTAAACTAACAATAATTGAAGTAAAAGCAAAGTAAGTCTGTCTAATTAGCAACGACTACATTTAAGTTACCGTTTTTTATTTAATTACAACTTGATTCTGATTTTACACGAATGCTTTTTCTAAATCACCCGTCCCCAAGGGGTTAAGAGTAATTTTCAAAGGAGAAGACAAGTGTATATACACGTATCTAATCTAATTCATTCTTTAAACTTGTCCATTCAGGCAAAAATAAAATAAAATAAAAATATAGGTGCTCAAAACCGTATCAATCAGGGTAAAAAGATAAAACTGTTCTTTAGCAGTTTCTTTGTGGGCGGGGTTATAATTGTTTGATTTATTTAACTTACCATTATTTAGTTCAAAATAAAATTTTTTAGTTATACTTTGAATTATTATTGATTATATATATGATTAAACTAACAATAATTAAAGTAAAAGCAAAGTAAGCCTGTCAAATTAGCAACGACTACATTTAAGTTATCGTTTTTTTATTTAATCACATCCTGATTCTGATTTTGTACGAATGCTTTTCTGAATCACCCGTCCCCAAGGGGTTAATATTTTCAAGATGAGCGAGTCATGTATCAAAAGCGAGTCAGACCGACCACTGTTCTAATGCTCCTCAGTGATTCACAAATCATGTGTTAGAATCTTCTTTCCTACGGATTAGCCGCGGGAAGGTTTCGAGGTTCTCCTCTCCATGTAACTCAAATGCGGATAAATTCCATCAAAAAACTCTACTACGAAGGCTAGCCTGTGATTTTGTTTGTATAACTATTAATTCTGGAACTCCCTTGTCATTTGGGTCTTGTCTATATATAACAGACGAAATATATATATAAAGATATAAATAAATAAAGAGTTGTGTGTGTGTATTTTAACAAAACCAAAACTTAAATAATAATTAATACACAAACTCTAAATACAATTAAATAAAATTTCTAAATGAAGTGGATAGATTTGTTTTCCGTGGTTAATGTATACCCCTATTCTTGTTCTTACCATAACACAAATCTATTTTATCTTCGAAAAGGAATTGAATAAAACCATAATTCTTTAGAAATGTGTAAAATACATATAAAAATTGATTAACTACCAGTTATATTATCAAATATATTTTTATATAATTTTCTTGTTGCGTTATCAAGACGTAAAATTTATAATAAATAGTTAAGTATAAAAAGAAACGGTAGTTATCTTATGACGAGATCAATTGTTTTATCTAGTTTAAAAACTGCATCAACATTTGCATCTTTTTCATCTTGAAAAGCAATATTCCGTAATAAATCTAATGTTTGTCAATGAGGGTAAAGATGGCTTAAATAAAACCACTTTTTTAAAATTTTTCTTTTATTTCAGATTTTAAAGCTTTATGCTTGGGAAGTAGCTTTTACAGCTAAAGTGTCTGATGCAAGAAGAAAAGAGCTCAATCTGATACTGTACTCAAAGCTATGTGCAGTAGTTAATACTTTTGTTTTTTATTGTGCTCCTATATTGGTGAGTTTTATCAAAATACTTCCCTCATTGATATAAAACTTGTACAAAGTTTCCATTTTTTAATCCAATAAGAACTCGTTGCAGGACTCGTAAATTAAATTACCTGCATGCCCGGGGTAAATTAAAATTTCGATCATGTCCATATTTTTTAATCTCATATGCCCAGCCTGGTATGTAAATTTTCAATCAGAAAGCCATAAAAATTGCGAATATCGCTTAGTTTACGAAAGCTTCGATTACGCTGAGACGAAAAGCACCAACCTGACGGTGAGCCGTGATGGCTCATTGAATGGAGCTTTCGTCTCCCAACGAGGTGACTCAGGTCATCACCTCCTACATCAAAAAGCCTCCACACGGTCCTTTATAAGTAGTACGCGCAGACTGTTTAAAAAATGAACCTGTTGTGGGCATGAACCCACAACCTTTTATAAAGGTAATTGAGAGAAATTCATCATATATATTTGAGAATTGAATCTGTAGTGGTTGACAAGTGAATAAAGCAAACCAATAATATTCATAAATAAAATAAATTTTTAGTCATATATTTGCTACCACTTTCTTATTTTAACTAGATTTTGTATTAAGTGACTCGTTCAGAAAGTGGATATCCTTCACAGTGGTCTGATCGAACTACTTATAAAATACCGTGTGGTGGCTTTCAGTTATAGGAGGCGTTGCTCAGGTTCGAATCTCAGCGGTAGCTGGTTGATACGAATTCTGCTCCCGGATCCTCCGCAATGAGAGACGCATCAAGGATTTAAATCCCTTTACGATTGCATGTTTTCGCGATTTTTCGTTCCATGTAACGCAAATGCTTGCCAGTTCCATTAATAAGTCCTCAACAAAGACTTGTTTATCTCAATACTTGATCTAGGAATTCTTTTGGGTTGGCTTATAATTATTTTCTTCCTTTGGGTTGATAAAATTTGCATATTTTTTCATATGTCTAACAACAATAATGTGGTGTTGGTTAAATCATTTCATAAGCTGTATTTTATTACCTCAGCATAAAAACATCTATGAGTTTGTAATATTCCTGAAGGTAAATTGTTTTGACAAAAGCAAGGATCAAGGATTCTATATAACCTCTTATAATAAAATAAAAATTGAAAAAAAAATGGTTGCCGATTTACTTAAAACTGTCATACACGCAAAATACTTAACTTTCACTTTAACTTATAAATATTAGATTTACCGGAAGTTCTGATCACGGAAGTACGTGGCTCATTCAACAGTTATGCAAAGTGTTATTTTAAGAAAAGAACGTGTTTTACCCTTATTACCCTTTCTATAGCCGTGGCAAGTATACTTACCACCATTTTTTAAAGTTCATGTTAACCTTTTTACCACTTTTAATTTAGGTTTCCATTTGTTAATAACTTCAGCTTTCTTGAATTGCGTTTGAATAAAATTGGCAACCACTAGTTAGTTTAAGAAAACGTATAAGAGTTATAAAATGCTTAATTCCTTTTGAAGTTTGGAGCATTTATAAAATTTATTTTATAAATAAAGAAATATAAAAGTCAATAAGTTCCTAATAGGTCGTGGTAAATATACTTACCACCAAAGAAAAAAATGGCATTAAATTTAAATAAATTTTTTTATAAATTAAATGAGTTTTTCTGTCCTTTTATCAATTACTATTCTTATATCAATTTCAATACCAAAAATTCTTTAATTTACCTTTACTAGAAATTAATGGCCCATTAAAGGGTTAGCTCAATAGTAATGTTTCAGCTTAAAATGACTTAAGGCCCGAAAGAGCATGTACATACACGTTCAAACTTGTATCCCGGCAGTATCCGCGAGAACTAAGACATCTGATGCATATATTTAAGTGTATATGCTTTACCACTATTTTCTTATAGAGATTCCTTCTGCATACTTGAATAATAGGGCTGACACAATTTTCTGGAAGACCAATAACAGCGCTGCTATTTTTGCATCTAAATATCGTTACTTTAGTGTTAATATAACTCATACCTGTCAACTCTCCCGAATTTTGCGGGAGATTTTATTTTCATATTTAAAGTGGTAGTAAATATATACTTTTTTTTTCTTTTTTAAATTTAATTTTTAAATGATTTTGATCACCACTATTCTTACAAAAATTAAGCTTATATATTAATATGCGTTACTATCATCGTTGTCAACTTAAGGTTTCTCAAATACAACGTATTTGTTTGCTTGAAATTGAAGTTTTAATTCCATCTTAATACCATTGGGAAAAATGATAATGGAAGGGATTAAAAGTTGGCACGTCTGATATAACGTTGTAGGTAAAATATCTCGTTTCATCCAAAAAAAAAAAAATGAAATATGTCATAACTCTGTTATACCACTGCATTAATTTTAAAAGGAGTCTTCTACGCCTGTAAAAAAAGACACGAGCTCATCTTAAGAAGAAAACAAGTTCTATACTTAAATTTTCTTTTTAAAATAAAAATGTATGTTTTTTTTTAACACCTTAGATTTCAGTTTCGAGCTTTGCTACTTACTTGTATATGGATCGGAAAAATGTCTTGGATCCAACAAAAGCTTTTGTTACAATTACCCTCATGGATCAACTGAAATATGCCATGTTTGTTTTGCCTGAGTCTGTATCAGAACTTATTCAGGTGATTATACTAAAGTTGTGAATATAGCTTTTGATTTAAAATTCAGTTAGATCTTATTTCTGTCGAAACTATTTTTTTGTATTGATGAAGAATAGTTTAATGGAAATTTCTGTTTATTTTAAAAAAAGAATGTTAAAATCAGATAAAATGGAAATACAGCTCAAATATATATATTTTAAATTTTTTAAATCATTGAGAGAATTACGTTCCTACCATAAAATGATACTAACAAAATTATTTTTAATTTCATGAAAAAATTGTGAAAAATATCATATTCTCTAATTTAACCCTTTCGCGCCGACTGTCACAAATACGTGACAGCATAAAACCGTATCAACCAGGGTAAAAAGATAAAACTGGTAATCAAAGTAATTCTTTAGCAGTTTATTTGTGGGCGGAGTTATAATTGTTTGATTTATTTAATTCACCATTACTTTGTTCAAAATAAAACTATTTAGTTATACTTTGAATTTACATTGATTATATATATGATCAAACTAACAATAATTAAAGTAAAAGCAAAGTAAGTCTGTCAAATTAGCAACGATTACATTTAACCCCTTGGGGACGGGTGATTCAGAAAAGCATTCGTACAAAATCAGAATCAAGTTGCAATTAAATAAAAAACGGTAACTTAAATGTAGTCGTTACTAATTTGACAGACTTACTTTGCTTTTATTTTAATTATTGTTCGTTTAATCATATATATAATCAATGTTAATTCAAAGTATAACTAAATAGTTTTATTTTGAACAAAGTAATGGTGAATTAAATAAATCAAAAAATTATAACTCCGCCTACAAATAAACTGCTAAAGAAATACTTTGATTACCAGTTTTATCTTCTTACCCTGATTGATACGGTTTTTTGCTGTCACGTATTTGTGACAGTCGGCGCGAAAGGGTTAAGTTACCGTTTTTTATTTAATTGCAACTTGATTCTGATTTTGTACAAATGCTTTTCTGAATCACCCGTCCCCAAGGGGTTAATACTCAGCACTTACAATATTATAGATGAACGATGTTATTAACTAATAAATACTTTCCTTTTCTTTCTTTTATATTTTTTGAGTAGTTTTTCATTTTCTTTCTTGGATATTTCTTAGAGAGGATTTTCATTTTCTTTCTTTGATATTTTTAGAATAGTTCTTCACTTTCTTTTTTGTTTTTTGAATAGTTTTTAATTTACTTTCCCTGATAATTTTAGAGTAGTTTTTCATTCTCTTTCTTTTACATTTTTTGAGTAGTTTTTCATTTTCTTTCTTGGATATTTCTTAGAGTAGATTTTCATTTTCTTTCTTTGATATTTTTAGAATAGTTTTTCATTTTCTTTCCTTCATATTTTTTGAATAGCTTTTAATTTACTTTCCCTGATAATTTTAGAGTAGTTTTTCATTTTCTTTCTTTGATATTTTTTAGAGTAGTATAGCCTTAGGACGTCTCAGAACTTTTTTTGCTGCTGAAAATGCGGAATCAGACGTTATTGGCAATAATCCGGATAAAGGTAATCAAAAGTACTATTTTTATTGATAAGCAATCAAGGAAATACTCTGTTTTTTCCCTTTCCCAGTACAAAGGATATTTGCTGTTTAATGTCAAAGAATCTGTTTCATTTTTAAAGAAATTGATATTTTTTAGCTCTGATCTTCTGAAAATATAAGAAATTTTACAACTACAATAAATAAAGGCAGCATTCTAGATTATTATTAGTTAGTTAATCTTTCACCATCATCAAGTTATTATACGTTTAAAAATATTAGATTGTTTTTCATGAAAAATACGGTTGGTTTAATGAGACAGAAAGTAATACTTTGAAAGAAAGTTTCTGTTCTGTTTAGTCAAGCTGGGCTCTTGAGGCCAATAATGGCTCTTTTTCAATTCATCCTGTAATGAAATCATAAGCAAAAACAATAGACAGATTACATGAAATGCTGCAATTAAATGGCACATAAGGATAAGGTAGTGTGATTAAGGTAGAGAAAAAAGAATGGCACTTTGCCATGATAATAAGTAACAAATAATTGAATGTATAGAAAAGTGCAAGACATATTTACAAGTAGGGAAACGAAAATTACAAGAAGGAAAAATATTTACAAAACACGGGAAGAATTAGCAAAATTCAAGATGAGAAATGACAAGTTCATAAAAAAATTTCATAAACAAGAAAGTGTACCTCTGTTAAAGAAGAGACCCGACCGTCGTGGTTATTACCTCTCGTGTCGGGTTGCTCTCTACACTGAAAAATAACTCGGATTTATCTCGCTAAACATAGTTAGAAAGAAACATTGAGAGATAACAATGGAGGATTAACGGTTTATTCCTTATTTTTATATTTAAGTGTTAGCAATTTTTTTCATAAATTTGATTTATGATAATTTGTGATTACCTCGTCACATAATTTAAATATGTAACTAAGGCCTTAGAATTTCAAGAAGTTTTGGGAAACGAATACAGATTCTACTCCCCTTGATTGTACTTAATCTAGCACTAAAATTTCTTGAATGGTAACAATCTGTTTTGAGTTTAATTTTGATACAATCCCTTACAGAAGATAATTTCAGTGGTAGATAACATAAGAATTTATTCAACAGGTGATATTTTGACAATAAGAAAAGCGTCATTCAAATGGGCAGGAGAAGAAGACTGCACTCTTCATGATATAGAATTGCACATTCCTAAAGGTAAGTTGGTTGCTGTTATTGGACCTGTAGGATCTGGTAAATCATCTCTACTCTCAGCAATGCTTGGTGATATCAACCGAATAAAGGGATCAATAGACATCAAAGTAAATATTTTTTAAACAGTTGCAATATATATATATATATATATAATAGGCAAATAATATTCGAGCTGAATACTTTAAGATATATATAACCAATAGTATGCCTTTTCTGAAAATAAATTATTGAGAAACGCTATAAATTACGCAGTGAATTGTCTTTCTACTGTATTGCAAACGCGATTAATCGTTTCAACAACGAGTTGTGCCCGAGATGAATTGTCATCGGGACGGATTATGCTCACGACAAATTATGCACGCAAAACCTCACTGACGCCTTTACATTTGTCCACTTTTAAGATGGGCAAGTAAGTACGTAGTATTTAAGTACCCTGATGAAAAATCGTTCATTATAAGTATCTTTATATTAAGCATTTTATGCTCAAAGCTTTATAGAGCGTTTCTAAATTTTTATTGTTGCCCGTAATGAACTTTTACAGTTCTTCCAAAGTTCCTCAAAAGTTTGCGAAATTTATCATATAAAATGTCTTTCTTTAGGAACATAGGATTTGCTTTGTAACGCTTGAAATTTGTTATGTTAGAACATAAAGTTTGCTGTGTATACTTTAGTCTTTCTTTAGGAAGATAGGATTTGATTTGTAACGTATGAAATTTGTTATGTTAGAACATAAACTTTGCTGTGTATACTTTAGTCTTTCTTTAGGAAGATAGGACTTGATTTGTAGCATATGAAATTTGTTATGTTAGAACATAAACTTCGCTGTGTATACTTTAGTCTTTCTTTAGGAAGATAGGATTTGATTTGTAACGTATGAAATTTGTTATGTTAGAACATAAACTTTGCTGTGTATACTTTAATACGTTACAATGAATAAAGCGCAAATAATGGTACATTTTGGACCTTTATTTTTGTTTTAGTCAGATCATTTTACTTTATTCAATACACTTTTTGTTTTTACAAATTTATCATGAAACTCTCTTGATCACCACAATAAGTCGGTAACTTGCAAAAATCTGACCTCTTACGTAGTTAAATTATTTAATTTTACGTGATTGTTAAATAAGAAATTTTTTCTCACTTTGCTAATTAGTTTACTACCCCTTGAATGATTTTTGTGGACCATTAGAGGTCCTGCAACTGCTGATACAAACAAACTTAATTTCTTAACAGTAAAAGCATTGTTAGTTTGCAATAAAATTAACTTACAACACATTAACTTACAATAAAATTATTGCGTGTTAATGTTTTTGTTACAGGTGTAATTTAGTTCTAACGTATGCGCCTTTTTTGCAGGGTAGTTTGGCTTACGTCCCACAGCAAGCTTGGATTCTGAATCGTACCGTTAAAGAAAATATTCTAATGATGAAGAATATGTCAGAGGAAAAATACAATAGGGTGTTAGATCTTTGCTGTTTGAGGCCTGATTTGGAGATTCTACCTGCAGGAGATAACACCGAAATCGGAGAAAAGGTAATATATACACTGCCTTTCAGTCAAATTTCACGTTTTTTCAGGAAAATTTTATCCACTATTTGTTCAATAAAGCAGAAATATTAAAAAAAAAATGGAGCAATTAAAAGCATCTCTTCAATGTTGTCCGACATGCCAACAATATGCATTATTATTACGCATGCTATTTGAGAATGATTTTACGAAGTCGTAGTTAATTCCTTCATTTGCTTAAATAAATCGAAAGGTTTATTTAAGGAAATAAACCTTTAGAACATTATTTTTAAGATTTTAGAACATTTATTAGTTTTAAGATTTTGTGTAAATATTTATATTAAAGAAGTAATATGGATATTTAAAAAAGGCTGCCAACAACTATGCATCTTGCAAAATATTTTAAAGAGTGGTACATCGATAAGAACTAAAGCTTTCAGAATTTTTGGTAACTTTACCAATATTTTAATTAAAAGCCTTACACAGGAGGGCTTAAATTAAATGGCTTTGCAAGTTCATTTGCTGCTAACGTTTTTAAAAATTCACCAGCACTTTAATAAAGCGTGAATGATATTCTTTTCGTTTATTCTATATTTTTTGCGCATAAAAAAAAAAAAAATTTAACATATCGGTTTTCAAATGCATGTTACCTTTATACTTTAAAAAAAACATTATGAGATATATCTGAAATATTTCAAACAAACTAGAAACTCTAAAAAAATAAATTCTAACTAGTTGAAATATTTGATTGTGGTTCAAGAAAGAACGGTTAAACTATTTAAACTATTTTTGAGTTTGTTTTGAAAACTAAAGGAAATCGTTTGATAAATTTTTTGTTCGAGAATTTTAAAATATGCTCACCGGATAAGCTCATCGTCTTGACAGAAATCAGGAGAAGCGTCTTATAAGTAAGTGTCATAGCTTTCTATTTAAGCAATGGAGGTAAAAAGTACAATCGATTTTATTTTGTAAGCAAATATTATTTAAACAATGTAAACACTTAAGATTTTCAAATGATTTGCTTTTCAAATAATTATTCTTTTATGAAATTGATAAAATGCTACGTTTTGCAGGGTGTTAACTTGAGTGGTGGACAAAAACAACGAGTCAGTTTAGCACGAGCAGTATATCAAGACAAAGACATTTATCTGCTAGACGACACACTCAGTGCTGTGGATGTCCACGTCCGCAAAGCCCTATTCGATGATATTATTGGAAATGGAGGATTGCTTAAGAAGAAGGTATAGTAAACAACGATTCACCTAACCCTTTGCACTCGGAGAACTTTAGAATGCTGTTTGAACTAATCTAAGTATAAACTAAGAAATAATGCATGCGGGTAATCGGACAATAATTAGTATGAGGAATTTACATACTCAATATGTTTAAGAGGTTAACGGAAGTAGTTAGTTTGATTAGTGCTAAATCACTATAAAATAAAAAATACAGTATTTTTATATAATGTTTGAAATTCTTAAAATAATGCGTTTACTAGTTATTAAGGGGGGGGATTAATTTTAGAGTAGTAACTGTTGATGGCGGTTCAGAAGCGACGTTGTAGTCTGATTGGAGCACTTTTGATTCTGGGAAATTTTTTTAACTAATAAAAGGGAGATAAGACCCTTAAAATCTCATATATCACCAGGGCTAAAGAGAATAGAAGGGCTGGTTCACTCCTTTGAAGAAACCCTCGCCGCGCCAAACCTCCGATTTTCCTCCGTGACGTCACGTTGGCGCAAAACTTGAACTTTTACTTCAAGAACGGAGCTTTCGGTCTAACTAACTCTTTACTAAAATTGGAGCATTCCTTTGTGTGACATATTCCAAGACATTCGTTGTTTTTTATAATGATTTTCCTCAGTTTTTTAAAGTAAATTATAAAAATTTAAAATTATTAACGAAATGCCAATTTGTGCGATTGCATCTTGCAAAAAATAGTTTCCAAAAATAATAATATTCTAGGCAACATTGAAGATATAATGCAAGACTTAACTTCCATTCCTATGTCTTAGGATGTTAACCTTAATTTGGGAAACAAAATGATTAATTCACAAGAAAAAGAAAGTCTAAATTATTTTGCCGGATACATAGCATTTCGTCTTAAAAATATTGATTCGAAATTAGGAATACCATCTTCTCAGTACATCCAACAACAGGGGAGCAACACGGAATGGATAAATCTGTTAACTAAGGGATGATTATTTGTTTCATCAGCGGAATGGATGGAAGTGTGTCAGGAATTTGAGAACATTTTTCAAAATGTGCACGGGACATTTTACAGAAAATCAAAAGGACTTATAGGACATCAAAGAACTTATAAATGAATTAGAGGGACGATATCCAGCAATAAATAAAGCAGAAATACGCTTATTTTGTTGTCTAAGAACTTTTATAAGAATTCGCCATCTAAACAGAAACCGACCCGTTACTTCAAAAAGAAAGGTAGGCGAAAAAATTAAAAAATGGATAAAGTAAAAAATAAAAATAAAAACTTAAATGAAAAGTATAAATTATTAATAGTTAAAATTCTTCTAATTTCATAACAGTTAAATAAGTTTTGAATGTAGTTATTCTACATATTTATAATTTTTTTAAAATTATATTCTCCAAATTAAAACATCTATAAGCAATTGTAAAATTTCTAATGTTATTATGAAAATAAATTATTATTTTATTTCAGTAATTAGCGTTTAAGGTTGTAGTTTCCTAATGATTAAGTATGAACAAATTACCATTAATTCTAAATTTAACAAAACTTTACAAATTATTGTTATCGAACAATATGTAGCAGGAAAAGTATTGATATATGCTTCATTTCTTTGTAACAGTAAAAGTTAAAAATGAAAATTTTGAAATAAAGTATTTATAGCTTCATTTACTACAACTAGTAAAATATTTTTATATGTTTAAAATGGTATTTATTTTAATATTATGGCCAAGAAAATTTTTTTGAACTATGTTTATGAACAGAACTAATGTGTTAATTGTGTAAAGTTTTAAAGCTAATATTCAGAAAAAATCTAACTTATTTTTACAGAGAGAATGATGCAAAGTTATCATAATATCTTTGCTAGCGATCTCCGAGATCAATGTATACAGTGACGTCATGAGGAGGGAAATCGTAGCTTCTGAGAGCGGAATGAACTAACCCAGCTCCGAAAGAGCAAATTGAGATCGAAAATTTTAGTCAAGAAGGAATATAGCAAGTGCGGCCTTAGACATTAAGTTCTAAATAAAGTGACATAATTTAGTTCTTTATATTTTAAAGAATAGTGGTTAAATGCTTAAAAGCTATTGGTTTTACAATTAGTGGTTTTAACATTTGTTGAATTAATGTTGCTATTGCGCCGGAAAGAAGTGAAATATTAAAATATTTAATAGAATATTTTTGCCGTTAATTTGCAAAATTTTAGATAAAAATTACCGTATATTTTTGAATATTTTTTTAATATTTTTATAAGCGCAACCAATGCAATGAGGATGATGATTAATTTAATATTTTAAAGAATTAGATCAGAAACTTTTTCTATCTTCTTGAAACTATAGTTTTTTTTTTCATGTTGACATTTTGCACAATTCTCTTAAATATAATTTAGTGCTCTAGATAAAGGTGATCAAAATGAAATATAACAGTCAACTGTAAAAGTAAGAGTAATAAAATCAAAAAAAGAACTAAAAGTGTTTTCTTTTGACTGCTGTGCTTTTGAAAGCATAAAGTCCATACAATCTATCAAAAATCTTTTTTTCTTTAAAAACAATATATTAAAGTGACTAGGTTATAAATAAAGCTTGCCTCACAGTGAACTGATCGTAAGGCATGTTGGTCACTGAATATATCAGTATCACTGGGTGTGTCAGTCAGCAGTATATAATCTTGTTTTTCAAAAACCAAAATGCAAACAAATTATTGCATTTTAACTTCCCAAGAGCAATTCAAAGCAATTCTGCTCTAATTTGTTTGCATTTTGATCATTTGAAAAAAAAAATTCTTGGCTAACTCTTGGTTCACTTGAATTAACTTTTTCCTACATTTTAAATTTTGAAATTACAAATAAAGGTTACACAGAATTCCCCATGAAGCATTTTCTCTGCAGTGTAGCGCCTTTTAAAATATCTATAATTATACTTTAGTGAATTAAGTATTAATGACATGAACTCTTTTGACAGACAAGAATACTTGTTACCCATGAAGTGTCAATATTGCATAAAATGGATATAATAGTCAGCATGAAAGATGGTAGAATCGATGAAATTGGCTCATATCAAGATCTGCTGAACCAAAATGGATCTTTCATGGAACTCATTCAAGAACACACCAGCCAGAAGAATTTAGAAGAAAATACAGATGAAAATAAAAAGTAATTTTTACCATCTTTGTACTGTAGTTCTTCAATGAAATAATTTGTTTATTATTTTGAAAATGAGCATTTGTAGTAATAATTTTACTTGTACTGTGAAACTTTTTCCCCAAAAATATTCTTAAATTGACACTTGTTTGTAGTTAAAATTTTATGTTCTTGATGGTAATCCGTTTCCGGGAAGCCGTCAGATATATATACCTAAAGTTAAATACAGATGCTATACAATATTGACCTTAAATTTGAAAAATCTGTTATTTGATTACATCCATAAATGTAGTCGTTTCCAAATTATAGAATTTGATCTGTAATTTGGTCCAATCCCAAACTCAATCTATGTAGATTATTAAGTTCATATATGAAGAACTGAGTGGAGGAAGCGAATGAAATTTTCAGAGTGAATGCAGGAAAAAAAGTGCGAAAAAGGAAGAAAAAAAAAAGGTTTCTAAATTAGAAAACGGGGGTAAAATTTTTTAGCCATATTTTATTTATCACTACTTAAATTGAATTGCTCAAGCCTAATGCGGATAAGTTATGTTAAAAACAGAAAAATCAAAAACTATCTGCTACTTTAAACTTACGCATATTTATGCGAACACTTTGTATTATCTCTTCTGTTTAATAAATACTCCTGAAATTGTCACTTTCGTACTTCATTCACTAAACGTATAAATGTTGTATCGGGGTGACCACAATATATAAAATATTAAAAAGTGATGATAACTGTTTCATAGGGTTATATTAAAAGTTATAGGCTTTAATTCTTACCTAATTTTAAGAACAGTCTGTGAGAATGGCCGAGCTGTCAGGATGCTTGATTGTGAAGCTAATGGTTGCTGGTTCGAATTTCGTTCAGGGCATGGATGATTTGTTCTGTACGTTTTTCCCTGTTATGTGATGTGGGAATGGAGCCAATTTCTAAATGGATATCTGTAGAGGAGTTGCTGCTTACTTTTCAACTAAATGCTGCTCGCTTTTCAACATGCTTTTTTCGACTAAAGTTAAAAGCGTTGGCAGAAAATTTTCAATACCATTATTATATTCTTAAAAAGATGATAATTCAGTCCATCCTTACTGACAATCACGCTAAATATATTTCTAATTTATCTTTTTAGAATGCTGTGCAGGTACATTTCAACTGATTCAGCTTCCTCTAAAACGTCAGATGATGGTGCAAAAGATCAGGTTGATCCTACTGCTGATAAACATGCATCAGAAAAAACCTATCGTCTCATTGAAGACGAAAAAATGGAAGTCGGAAAGGTAACCATTAAAGGCATACCTGCCAACTTTTACGCATTTAGCGTAAAATTTTATTTTATTTCTATATTTAAAGTGGTAGTAAAATGTATTCCTTGCATGTATGTATTCCTTGCATTTAAAAACTTAATTTATAATCTTCTTGACCACCACTATTTTTAAAAAAATTAAGCATATATATTAATATGCATTAGTGCCTTGATAGTCCATACAAACCTTTTTTAAACACAGTGTACGCTTCCGCCAAAAATTATAGTTTAAATTCCATTAAACTACCACTGGGGAAAATCATCCTCGAAATGATTAAAATTTGGCAGGTATGTAAAGGTTACATTCTATAGGATTTAACTTTAAACTTAAATTTATAGCGTTGTATTTATCCATTTAGGCCTCAGATGTCCAGTTCTACAACAACGAACGAACGATCATTGTATTTGGTTTACAGTGTATCCCCCCTCTCTTACGCTGATATTAACATACAGAGAACATAGATGCCAACTGCTCCGGACCCGCCATAATCATTTAAATAACGGTAAACAACTACAAATGAATATTAGCAAATATTCGACTAATTTTGTTTACTTTTTAAGCGGTGTCGCATGGCTTTATAGTAAAAAGTGGCGAATCATATAAGCCTTTGAATTATTTAGAAATAGTGGTGAATAAAAACCTAATTAATTGAATTTATTAAACCAAGATTCATACATTAATAAACTACCATTCTATAATATTTATTTGCTCTCCGGAGCAAGTTGGCATCTCTGAGAGAAAATCAAATCTAAATACATAGATGGCTGCTCACTTTTTTCATTTTAACCAGTGTATATATCTATATATGAAGCAAAATTTTAAGTGCAAAGCTCTTGGATTTGTCGTAACTTCATGTAATAAAACAGGTGTGTTTCGCAAAATAATTTATAGAGTAGTAGACTAAAGGTTTCAGAATTTTGGTCAATTTTTAAAAGCCCCCAAGAGAGAATTGGGCTAAAGTGGCTTATNATTTGGCGGCACACAAAAGTGCCGCGGCACAGTGGTTGAGAATCACTGTTCTATAGGATTTAATTTTAAACTTAAATTTATAGCGTTGTATTTATCCATTTAGGCCTCAGATGTCCAGTTCTACAACAACGAACGACGATCATTGTATTTGGTTTACAGTGTATCCTTACGCTGATAGTAATATACAGAGAACATAGATGCCAACTGCTCCGGACGCGCCATAATCATTTAAATAACGGTAAACAACTACAAATGAATATTTGCAAATATTCGACTAACTTTGTTTACTTTTTAAACGGTGTCGCATGGCTTTCATGTAAAAAGTGGCGAATCATATAAGCCTTTGAATTATTTAGAAATAGTGGTGAATAAAAACCTAATTAATTTAATTTATTAAACCAAGATTCATACATTAATAAACTACCGTTCTATAATATTTATTTGCTCTCCGGAGCAAGTTGGCATCTCTGAGAGAAAATCAAATCTAAATACATAGATGGCTGCTCACTTTTTTCATTTTAACCAGTGTATATATCTATATATGAAGCAAAATTTTAAGTGCAAAGCTCTTGGATTTGTCGTAACTTCATGTAATAAAACAGGTGTGTTTCGCAAAATAATTTATAGAGTAGTAGACTAAAGGTTTCAGAATTTTGGTCAATTTTTAAAAGCCCCCAAGAGAGAATTGGGCTAAAGTGGCTTATCATATGATCTTATGGAAAATAGCTTGAAATCAAATTGAAATTAATATTAAATTTTTAAAAAAAATCAAATTTGAAATCACAGGATCATAAACTTTAAAACCACTAGAAAACATTTTCCAGGAATAATATAAAATTTTCGTATTAGAATGCAGAGATGCCAACTTGCTCCGGACAGCAAATATATATTTTAAAGTGGTAGTTTATCAATTGTGATACTTGGTTTAATAAATTCAATTCAGTAGATTTTCATCCACCACTATTTCTAAGTAATTTGTAGACTTATATAATTCACCACTTAATGATACTTATGTCATGCCATACCTTTTAAAAACCAAGCGAAAAAAGTCAAATATTTGCAAAATTTTCTTTGTGGTTATTTACCGCTTTTTTAATTATTTTGACGTGTCCGGAGCAGTTGGCATCTCTGAGAATGGTATGCTATATATCTTCTTCAGTTAAATCTGGTGAGCTGACCACAATGTGTCAGTTCATATTTCAAAAAGTACATGATAGATGGGATGAGGCAACGCCTCCTATAACTGAAAGCCTCCACACGGTTTTTTGTAGGTAGTCCGATCAGACCACTGTGAAGGATAACCACTCTCTGAACGAGTCACGTAATACAAAATCTAGTTAAAATAAGAAAATGATAGCAAATATATCACTAAAAATTTGTTTTATTTATGAATATCATTGGTTTGCCTTATTCACTTGTCAACCACTACAGATTTAATTATCAAATATATATCATGAATTTCTCTCAGTTACTTTTATAAAAGGTTTTGGGTTCATGCGCGCAACTGGTTCACTTTTTAAATAGTCTACGCGGACTACTTATAAAGGACCGTGTGGAGGCTTTTTGATGTAGGAGGTGGTGGATGAGGGCCGCTTTGCGGCTCAGGTGCCCAATAGGCAATATATATTAAAATAACAACGTTTAATGCAAACATAAAGTTTTTTGTGGTTTCCAGCAAAATAAAACTAAAAAAAAGTATCATGTATACTACCAATTTTTCTTTCATGAAAAAAGAATTTAAAGACATTAAATTTAGAAATAGTTATTCTTTCAATTATAAACCGACAGAGGTTCAGAAGCACAAATTTGTCTAATGCGAAAGATTTCGCAGGTAAGGATTTTGACAAAAACTCATATGTTTTCGATGTTATAAAAATATGCATTTCTGCATAGAATTAATATAATGTTTTTTTTTCCATTTTAACTAAAATAATTAAAAATTTGTTCAATTTTAACATATTCGAAATGTATTTTCCGGTCCTTTATAAATTATTGGGTAGTTTTATGTAATTGTCAGAGCATGATTTTAGTCCTCCTTTGTGATGTGTATATAAAAAACAGGTGGTACTCCACTAATAAATTATTCATAGCGTCGCTCTCAGTTTGATTGCATGAAAGTTTAAGAATGATCGCGCTGTTACGGGGGTGTAGCTCAGTGGTAGAGCGTTCGCTTTGCATGTGAAAGGCCTGGGGTTCGATCCCCCACACCTCCACAATTTTTATTTAATTCATCCTTAGAAACTATTTTGCTATATTTTATTATTTTTAATGATATTTCTATTTTTTGATGATGGTGGTCAAGAATACACAATTGGTGGTTCAGAATTCATTTTAATTCCTGCAAATGTTTCGTGAATTCTTTTTAAAGAAGATTAAGACTGGTAGTTTAATTATTTCATTCTTGAAATTCATCTTGAAGAACAAGACAGTCGTATTCATCGACTCATATATNAATGATATTTTTATTTTTTGATAATGGTGGTCAAGAATACACAATTGGTGGTTCAGAATTCATTCTAATTCCAGCAAATGTTTCGTGAATTCTTTTTAAAGAAGATTAAGACTGGTAGTTTAATTATTTCATTCTTGAAAATTCATCTTGAAGAACAAGACAGTCGTATTCATCGACTCATATATATATTAGATTTTCGTAAGAGTAGTCCTAAATATGTTAAAGTAATGTCGACGTTCATTTCAGAGCCGATGAAGTGTATCCAGTGTTAGGCAGTTGGGGAGCATGGCGCGGAGACTAAGGCGATCGAATTTTACCTATCTCTTTTTTGATCTGCCCTGAAATTGAGATGGACAAGCGAAAAATCTTGTAGTGAATCCATTTAATTTGTAACAGGTCTTCTGAATAGCTAAATGAGGACTGTTTTAACAAGCTCAATTTCGCAAAAAGTTTATTTTGGTAAACAATGTGTTATTGTCTCGAGAACACGTCATATTTTCTGTAAAGATAGATGGATGATAATATGCATCTTGCTACCATTTGATTATTGACACAAACAGTTGGAAAAACTCGCGATATCGTGTGATCAGCAATGGAAGGTTTTTAATCACAATCTGTTTATCTCTATTTACTTTTAAAAAATAGTCCCATATACGTGTTATAATTGTTAAAAAAATATTGATAATCATGGATATCTTTCTACGAATCCCGAAAATTAGCTGAAGTAGGTCAAGTTTAGTATATTTAAGTTAACCCTTTCGAAGGCCGTGGGAAGTATACTTACCACCACTTTTAATTTAAGTTTTCATTTGTTAATGCGTTTGAATAAAATTGGCAACCATTTGTTAGTTTAAAAAAGCGTATTAAAGTTATAAAATACATAATTCCTTTTGAAGTTTGTAGCATTTATAAAATTTATTTTATAAATAGAGAAAAATAAAAGTCAATAAGTTCCTACTAGGTCGTGTTAAATATATTTAGCACCAATGCTATATGCGTTTTGAAAAATGTTTTATGCAGTGGTAGATAATAAAAAACAAAAGCTTGCAGAATTTTCAGTAATTATGCCAACATTTTAAAAGCCTCACCACGTTCAAGCTGGCGTTCCACATGAACTTTTGAAAAATTTTACGTAGTGATGCAGAAATTAACTTTAAATCAATTTTATAAAGCAAATAATCATTCAATCATACCTGCCAACTTTTACGCATTTGGCGTAAAATTTTATTTCTGTATTTAAAGTGGTAGTAAAATGTATACATTCTATATATTCCTTGTATTTATAAACTAAATTTATAATCTTTTTGACCACCACTTTTTTTAAAAAAATTAAGCATATATATTAATATGCAATACTATTGCGGTAATCCGCATAAGCTTAATCCAAATACAGCGTTTGTTTTTATGTAAAATTCCGTTTTACTACCACTGGGGAAAATCATCCTCGAAGGGATTAAAAGTTGCATGTATGATTCAATGAATGTTACCATGTATTTCTTTTGATACTTTGAATTTTTGATATGTAGTGGTGCAAAAATTACAGCGTTTGTTTTTGTGTAAAATTCCGTTTTACTACCACTGGCGAAAATCATCCTCGAAAGGATTAAAAGTTGGCAAGTATGACTCAATGAATGTATTATGAATGTATGACCATGTATTTCTTTTGATACTTTGAATTTTTGATATGTAGTGGTGAAAAAATTACTTCAAATGAAAAACACTAAACTGAAAATTGTTTAAAATTCGCTAACACTAGAAAATAGTTTTTTACAAAATGGAGCAAGTTGGTATCTCTGCATTGTATATAATTCAATAGTCATAATTTAATTTTTTCTGCCATAAAAAATAGTACATTTACTCAATTTGCATTCCCACTGCATGGATCAAGTGGCTTCACGAACCCTGATATTTTTATTCAGCTCAGTTCACTAGGTGTAGTCCTATTAACATCTTAGTATTTTATTTATTTATTTATTTAAACTGTTAATAGGACCTTTTGTTCAAAGGGCTACGCGATATTACTTTAACACATTTAGTGCCATGGGGGTCATCGGTGACTGCCGAAGCCAAGGTATTTAAAAACACACAATTCGAGTAAATTTTTAATTTTTTTAATATTATTATGGTTACTAAAATGGTTTGAGGAAATGAATGCAATATAGAACACACTAAAATAGTTTTATTTATAAACACAAAGATGTCAACTTGCTCCGGACAGCGAATAAATATTTTCAAATGGTAGTTTATTCATTGGGATTCTTGGTTTAATAAATTCAATTTAGTAGATTTTTATCCACCACTATTTCTAAACAATTCGTAGGTTTATATAATTTACCAATGTTTTTTAATGTGTTCCAAACCTCTTAAACTAAAAAATGTGTCTAATATTTGCTAATTTATTTTGTAGTTATTTACCGTTTGACCAGATGGCAAGCCATGTAAAATTAGCGTGGCATCAGGCCTGAAAGTGAGACGGAAAAACGAAAATACTGGTAGAGAAACTATTTCATTATTTGATAATATTCGGGAGGAGTTAATCTATTCTCAACAATTCACTGTACTTAATTTTTACTCGGCGAAGAGGAAATTTCATATAAAAATTGTATCCGTTAAAAGCAATTGGTAGACATGGATTTCTATAACTCCCAAAAAAAAATTTAAAAAATGAAATTTATTTGCTACCAGTTTTTACTCTTTTCTGTCTTGCTGTATATGGGCTTTCAGCCGTGTGTGACATTCAACGTGTTAATAAGAAGTATTTTTATTCCCCATGTACGTTGAATATTACAATGTTTTTTTTTTATTTTAAACTAAGTGAATTCATAAAAAAAAATGAGTAAATGAAATCGTTTAGTGTGACCCATGCATCATTTTATGAGAAATGTATGCAAATGTATTTTATTAAAATAATTTTAATGTTAGTTTTTAAATTTTTGTTTTCAGGTTCATCGTCTCGTGTATTGGACTTATATAAAGAGCATGAGTTGCCCTTTATGGTTGTGTACAGTGCTGGGATATTTAGCATACGTTATATCTGAGGCAAGATTTCATTTATTAACTCTACATAATTAAGTGTATACTTTTTATTTAGTAAGTAATAGCATTAGTTTCTGTTAGAAATATTTTTCTCATAATTTTATGACAATACAATTACATAAGTGTGGGCCAAAAAAAAGCCGAAATGTCTTAAATCTTTTGGTAGTAGTCTAGAAAAGTTGTAAACTAGCAACTTTAAGAAGTATGCAGAATCTTATAACTCTGAATTGATATCTCTTAGCGATTAAAGATGAAAATTATTGCTTTTATTATTCAATTACATAATTACCTCTTTATAAAAAAATTTGTATTCAAAATTATGGAATGTCAGTTAACCGGTTAAATCCCTGCGTCATATATTTAGGACAGTTCCTTTTTTCAAAGACATTCATTGTGGTTGGAAACTTTTTTCAGTATTTTCATTTATCTGAGTGAATTAAGAGATTCTCAGATACCACCATGATTTAGTTATTTCTGATTAGATCTAGAATTCTAAGGAACAAGTACTTTTTGATCTATCAAAGACTTTTTGAATGCCTTAACAGTCGAAAACCAATTATTTTCGATAATATATTATACCACTTTTTCCATAAAACCACTTTATGTATCATGTCAATTTATAAATTCGGGACAATACAAGTAAATATCTTTCGTCTTTTGATAATCAAATGCAAAATGCATACCTGCCAACTTTCACTCTTTCCGAGAATGGACTTTCAGAGTGGTTGTAAAACAATAAACGAAAAACAATTTGACTCAAAAATATATTTATATTTTGATCCCGTTCAAATTCGCTTGAGCAAATATTATTATGATTTGACATATTTATTGTAGTTATTTATATGTAGGTCAAACTCATTTATAATTATCATTATAATTCAAAAAGTTAATTGGAATAACCTGAGTATTGCTACCACTTTAAATATGAAAATAAAATCTTCGGGAAAATCCGGAAGAGTTGGTAGGTAAGAAAATGTAAAACCGCTTGCGTCATTATACTTTTGTTTTAATAGTACATAAAAATAATAGCTTAACCCTTTCGCACCGACGGTCACTAATACGTGACAGCATAAATCTGTATCAATCGGGGTAAAAAGATAAAACTGGTAATCAAAGTAATTCTTTAGCAATTTATTTGTGGGCGGAGTTATAATTGTTTGATTTATTTAATTCACCATTACTTAGCTCAAAATAAAATTACACTGGTGTGCAAAACTTAAGCAACAAGTGGTTTTTCGGCCACAGCTCCCCAACAAAGTATAAGATAGCCATGAAATTGCAGTATAATATGCACGTAATTCAGTAGAAAGATTATTTGTATGCAAATTTTAGAAATAAAATGTCGTAACTGATGTAAGCGTACGTAAACCTTGTGGGTCGGCGCGCGCAGGTCAAAGCTGTGATAAAAGGATGAAGAGCACCGTAATTAAAGACATTCGCTGCAAGTGCAAATGATTTGTTTTGTGAAACACGTTTTCAGGAAATCATTTAGACGACTCTCGAGGAAGAATGATTGGGAAGCTTGACGAGGGGTGTAGTGTGACCAGTGCCGCCGAAGAGTTCGGGATCAACAAAAGTGTTGTTTCTCGTGCTTGGAATGCCTTTAAAACTACTGGTACAGCTGTTCGGAAGGTTGGTGGTGGCCGTCCAAGGAAAACAACACCAAGAGATGACCGTTACATTGTCCTCCAGGCGAAAAGAAACCGTTTTCAGTCAGCGAGCGCCATATCTCAGCAACTGTGCACAGCCACAGGACGACAAGTATCAAGATTTACAGTGGCCAGACGCCTCCACAAAGGTGGCTTATTTGCTAGACGTCCTGAACGCTGCATACCTTTAAAAGTTAGCCATCGGCGGCACCGTTTAGAGTGGTGCAGAGAACACGAAACCTGGACACCTCATCAATGGAGTCGCGTCCTCTTCACAGATGAGAGTCGTTTTAGTGCTACAAGCGATTCTCAACGTCAGTTGATCTGGAGAGAGGTTGGAGCTCGATTTCATCCCAATAACATCGCGGAAAGAGATCGTTACGGTGGTCCTGGAGTTGACGTCTGGGGTGGCATTATGTTAAATGGGAGGACTGAGCTTCAGATCATCGACTGAGGTTCTGTAACTGGAGACCGCTACTGCGATGAGGTAATCCTACCCCATGTGCGTCTGTTCCGAAGGACCATTTGACTAGACTTCATTTTTATGGATGACAATGCTCGGCCAGACCGTACTGCTAATGTTCAAGAGCTACTGGAAAGTGAAGATATCACAAGAATGGATTGGCCAGCTTACTCTCCAGATCTAAATCCCATAGAGCATGTGTGGGATGCATTAGGGAGACGTCTTGAGACACGACAGTATCCTCCAGGTAACACCCATCAGCTGAAAGATGCGTTAAAGGAAGAATGGAGACGTTTACCACAAGAACTCCTGGATAATCTGGTGCTTAGCATGGAGAGACGATGCCAAGCAACAATTACAGTAAGGGGAGGGCATATCCCATACTAGTGAACATCTGCCAGTTGTACTTACGCTTCTTCAGGCAATCATGTGTAACGCCACTATATGTCAAATAAAGCCTTTCTTTTTGTTCCATACCCTACTTTAAGCTTTATATTCATTTCTTCGCCATTATTCTTTTACCATCATTTAAGTACGAAATAATGTACATCATATCCAAATTTCATGTCAATCGGATGATTTCTTATAGAGTTATGACAAAAAACACACTTGTTGCTTAAGTTTTGCACACCAGTGTATTTAGTTATACTTCGAACTAGCATTGATTATATCGATGATTGAACTGTGATGGCTCAGAGGATAGAGTGTTCGCCTTTCAATGCGGCAAACCGGGTTGCTCCGACTACAGTGCTGACGTGAACTATACTCAGTGGTTGACGGATCATGGGTTAAAGTCCCCTTGACGTCAGGCTAACCGTGAGAGGTTCATGTGGTCTTTCTCTCCATGTAACGCAAATGCGGGTTAGCTCCTTTAAAAAGTCCTCCACGAAGGCAAATCTCTCCCAATACTCGATCCAGGAGTTCCCTTGTCTTCTGGATTGGATTCAAAATTACAAGGCTACGGAGTTGAACATTAGTAGTTGTAAACCCATAAAATTGGGTCGACTGTTCAACGACTTTGTAAAATATTTATGATTAAATTAACAGTAAGGCAGAGTAAGTCTGATTTTGTACGAATGCTTTTATGAATAACCCGTCCTCAAGGGGTTAATGTCCAGAATTTGGTGCCGTTGAGATAGCAGAAAATATTGACTTTTAATGTTAAAATTTCCTCGTTCTGTTAAGAATAACTTTTAACTTAATAACTTAAGGTAACTTTTAAATGACATTGTAAGAAAAAGTACAGTGCGCAAAAAAATAAATAAAGATCCTAATAACTTTTGATCTAATAATCAGATATTCACTTTCTAAGACTCAAATTAAGGGTTCGAAGAGATGACCTCAAATATGCTAATTGTTGTGGAGATGACATTTTAAGTTACGAAATCAGACATAAGAGCGTACTTTCTTTGAATTAACATATATTTTTTTTTCTGACGGAGTTGGATTTCTGACCCCATAAATATAGGGGATAGACGCAATCTAGGAAATATACTCCCCGTAGTTTGGTCAAAAAAGCGGTTCAAAGTTTGGACCCCTTAGTGTTAATTTTCCGTTTTGCGTATTTCGCCATATCTTGAGAACTTCTTACGTGAATTAAAAAAAAAATTTCCCACATTTAAAAAAGTTCGTTCATCCAAAGACAATTCTACGCAAAAAATAAATTTTAATATATATTTATTATTTTTTTGTTATTTTATTTAATTCTTATCGAAAATACTCTTAATTGTAAGGTATAAAATTTTTAACATGATTTTAAGGTATGTAATTTTACTTGGCAAAATATAAAATCGGCTTAATAGTTCTTGAGGAATCGAGATTTAAATATACGACCTGTAACTTCTTCGAGCTAGTGATTATTCATACACCACCTAGTCCCGTTCTTAAGGCTCTTCCTTAAGACAGGCATAGCAAGAAAATCATGAATTTCGATCTCGGTCTGGCGACGTAGGTCGAACTTGAGCTGGTTCCCCTCTTTCTTAACTTTTAATCCACAAACTAACTAAAGGACTTTCAGTCACCACATACAGTCGGACCCCAATTTAACGAACCCCTATTTAACGAATTTCGCTATTTAACGAATTTTTTTTCAACCCCAGCAAAACAGAGTCAAAAACCCCTAATTAACGAATAATTAAACCCGAATTAACGAATTATTTCAGCATCCGGAAAAAAAATTTTCATTAATTTTGATCAGAAAAATATTGCATTTTTTTGTATTTGGCAGATTCTAAAGGGAAAAAAATCTTTCCTGGGAGGAATAAAATAGAAAAAGTGCATATTCGTCTCAAACAAAAGAAAAACTCGCAACAGTGAAAAACAAAATTCGTCGTGGGTAGGTGGGCAGAGTCAATAAGACATTACACTTGCAAGGTCATTTTCCGGGGGTTTGTCACTTGGACTATGAGTTAAACAGGAGATTCCTTTCTTATCTTAGATAGTCGTTTATAACTAGTAATTTTTAATAATACATATGTGCAAAAAAATTTTTTTTGAACCCCGATTTTACGAATTACCCCGATTTAACGAATAAAATTTCCGGTCCCGATGAATTCGTTAAATCGGGGTCCGACTGTATTTAACATACCCCTTGCTGCGTATGCATGCCGGTTGATTTAGTTGACCGCCAGGATCAAACTCACAACTCTTTGCTCAACAGATACGGAATGAGGGATTTCTTTACCTGCCATAACACTAGAGTTCTTTGTGACTATTCCAGTAGATTTATCAGCTTTCCAATACTCTTCAACATTTTAGCCTTTTTTGGTTTATCAATAAACCTACTTTTTTTGCTTATATGTTTTATATGTTTTGAGTTTTAACAGTACTCACCTGTCAAGCTAAACTTTATTTTTATATTAGTTTCCTAAAAAATATTAGCTTTTTCCGAAAATTTCAACTTTTTACACCTTATGAATTGTGAAGCAATTTTTATTTATTTCCTTTTACTGATTATTTTTTTATTATTTGCTTTTCTGAAAATATGTATTTGTTTTTTAGACTTATGGCAACATTTGGTTAGCGAAATGGACAACTGAGACTGCATTGATTGGAACTCATGGTATCGAATCCACTGCGTATCGACTGGAAGTATACAGCCTTTTGGGTTTAGGGCAAGGTGGGTAATCTATGTTAANACAAATTCTAAACATAAAAAAATTTATTATATAAATGATACAAAAGACAGAAATTGCGCAAATAATAAAAAAAGCTTAAAAATACACAACAAAAGTATTTCTTTGAATTTCAATCAATATTAATATTTTTATTTAAATGAACAGAATTTTGGTACAAAGTATTGTACATTATCAGATTATTCTCATTTATCTTTCGTCTTTCATCACTTAATACATTTTTACACTTAGAAAACGATCTTTCTGCGTCAACGCTGATTTTAGGTACCGACAAACTTCGAATTGCCACTTTTGCCAATTTAGGAGCTTTCGGTCTTTGATTTCCAAAGCTCGATCAATTTTCCTTTACCAACGCGCAATTCCTTGACCGTTGCTTTGTAAGAAGTAATTGCTGTGAAAACTCAAACATTCTACATTCAAACTACTAGTTACAAGTCCCTACTAACTACTAGTCCTCCCCCCTTCATCTAGAACTGATCCATATTTAAGAAATCACAAGAAGTCGTCTAGGAAAAATTATCTGGATATGTAGAAAGGCAGTAGAAATTTCATTGCCCAGTGCAATAGCATGTATAACAATTTTTCTGTCTAAGATTTGATTTATAACATTTTCCTTCTTTTGTGATTCCAATTTCTTTTGTACTCTTACTGACTTCAGGAAGGTAATTACCCTCCTTTGGTGTAGAAAGACCACCTTAGTTGACGAGATTGTGATTATCTCTTATCTCTGAACTATTTTCATGTCATTTTGCTATTGATTCACTCCCCTAAATATCTAATCAATTTTACATGTTCAAGTTAAGGTTCAGGAAAATAAAAAAATCTGTTTAATAAAAATAATAAATTTAAAAAAATCACATTTTAAGCAATTTTCGCGTAAGTCAAGACATATTGAGAAATTCGCGGATTTTAGGAAAAAAGATGACAATTTCGCGAAATCATCGCGGAAATTCGCGCCGCGACAAACCTGCAGCCCTAATTATACCCCATGCCACTCTACATTTCCTGATTGTGCATGTCACACGAACCCCCTCTCGATTTTTGGAGCTGAGCACCCTCTCTTCCTCCCATCTCCATTCCTCCTCACTACTCCTCATCATCGATTTATTACTACAGATGAATCGGTTAATGCCGCTTCGAGGCAGCGCACCGAGATTCATGTGATTTCTACCATTCTACCATGATTAGATAAATAAGAATTTAAAAAAAAAATTTAAATTAGACATACTCACTTGTAATCTACCACTTTATTATTACATAGTTTTTATGTTTTTTTTTCTTCTAATTAATTGCAATTTACATACGAGACTGCATGGCAGGTACGCATCCTAAGTCACATTAGATCCGATGAATAAGTGAGAACCCACCAGGGCTGGTATTAAGTAACCAGAACAAAGCTAAGTTCACCCGTCTCAAAACAGGATTAGTAATCACCTAGAAAAAAATAATAAATGGCATCAATTTTGCTAAAAGCAAAATAATGAAAATTTATTAAAAAATGTGTTGCTATAAATTTATTATTAAAAATTTATATTAAATGAATAAATATAAAAATTTCTTAATACAGAGTTGGTTGGTTGGTTTACTTTGGACTACTAAAAGTGACAATAGAGTTGACTAATAAAATTAAGAACTCTAATAAAAGAATTTAAAATTAGAAAGTTTTAATAGGAAATTTCTTCAGTTTACTATTGAAACTTAATGCAACGAATGTTTTAGTTTTAAATATGAATAATTCGAAAAGTAAGTCATAGTAGAAGATTCTATTGAATAAATTCGTTAAAGAACTTATAAATAAATATATGTGAATTGAGGTCTACCATTTTTTATATTCTTAGTCTCCAGTGGCATTTCTGATAATATTTTCGAAATAACTTCTATCGAAAACTTTAAAGATATTATGTTCAGATCTCTATATATTTACTTAGAAAAAATAAAACATTCTGGTAGCAATAAGCAAAATAATATAAAAAAGTTATATCAATATTACTACCACTTTTTGATTTATTTTCTAGGTGTTCCAGGGTGCATATGCACCCAGCAACAAGGTAGGTACGCGTGCCTAAAATATAACAAGTGCTTGAAATTGAAATTTAATTCCATACTTTTTTCATGGGTAATGACCAGAGATGCCAACTGCTCCGGACACGCCAAATTAAATAATAAAACGGTAAATAACTTCAAAGTAAATTTTGCAAATATTTGACTATTTTTGCTTGCTTTTTAAAAGGTATAGCAAGACATAAGTACCGTAAAGTTGTGAAAACTACGAATTATTAAGAAATAGTGGTGGATAAAAATATACTAAATTGGATTTATTAAACCAAGAATTACAATTGATAAACTACCACTTTAAAATATGTATTTGCTGTCTGGAGCAAGTTGGCATCTCTGAATGACTATAACAGAAGCATCTTAACAGTGAATTAGGGAAAACCGTTCTTATTTTTAAAAGACGAGTCGAAATATATTTGAATTCGTTATCGAATCCATTGAAATATTAATATAATATTTTCACTACTACTGGAGAAAAGTATTTTTTAAAACTGCGGTAACTGCTCAGTTATATATTCAGCCTAAACCTTCGGGGATTTAGGGGGAAAATGCTTATTTTTAAAAGACTAATTGAAATATAAAACATCAAATTTATGAACTTCAAATTGCATATGTTCTTTTTCTTTTTAGTTGTATTTGTAATCATCGGAAGTGTGGCATTAGTGTTTGGAATTATAACAGCAGCTGGACAATTCCACAATAAAATGTTGAATAGCCTTCTTAAGTCTCCGATGTCTTTTTTTGATAGCACACCAATGGGAAGAATAACTAACCGGTAAGTTCTAATACATAATAATACTAGCTGAATACCCGCTCTTAGTAATAAGTAAACAACGTCTGTGAGTACTCTACACCAACGCCTTCTATAACTGAAAGCCTCCACACGGGGTCTTATAGGTAGTCCGATTTGACAACTTTGAAAGTAAATTAATTTACGAAAGAGACATTTAATAGAATATCTAGTTAAAATAAGAAAGTGATGGCAAATACGCGTCTAAAATAATTTTGATTTATGAATATTATTTGTTTGTCTTATTTACTTATCTTCCACCAAAGATTCAATTCTCAAGTGCATATGTTAACTTACTCTCAATTGCTTTTAAAATAGATCTTTCCTATGTAAGTTCCCGTCATGGGATATTTCAAGATGAATGGGAAAAGGGCCATTTAGGCATCAGATGGCCAGTTCTACAACAACGAACGAACGAATTTTTAAAATAGAGTTTGGTTTCATGCGCACCACTGAACCACTTTTTAAATAGTCTGTGCAGACTACTTTTACAATTTTATTTTATAACCGTCGTTGAAAAGCTAACCCAATCTTTGGGTTTACGACTACTAATGTTCAATTCCGTAGCCTTGTAATTTTGAACCTGATCCAGAAGACAAGGGAAGTTCTGGATCAAGTATTGGGAGAAAATTTCTTTCGGGGGGGGGGACTTTTTGATGGAACTTAAAAAACCGTGTGGAGGTTTTCTGATGTAGAAGGTAATGTCCATACTCTCTTACACGTGAAGCGCGAAATCTTTTCCTGCTAGTGTTTTCCACTTCTTAAATTATTTACCACTACCTATCAGAATAAAATAAAGAATTTATGAGTCTCTCTCTCATAAACACTCATCCAACTCCAGAATTGTTCGTTATAACATATTTAAATTTTCTGATTTGCCACGCAGACTAAATTTGCAAATATAGACAGATTTTGCCAGTTTTAGGAAAGGTTTAGCATGATATATCGAATAAAAGTGGTGAATTAAAAGTGGTGAATTTTATATGCCTACGAATTGTTTAAAAATAGTGGTGAATAAAAATCTACTAAATTGAATTTATTAAACTAAGAAGCACGATAATTAAGTAAATTTTGAATAAGTTTTCTGCAATTCCATAAAAAGAGTGTAAATTTTATAGTTCTATATAATGTTATATGCTGTCAGCCAGCTGTTTTTCGCAGCCTATGTGCAAGGTCAGTGTCAACAAGCGGTGGCAGACGCAGCCTAAATGTAATTTCAGTGTCAGCCACCGGTGGTTGACGCACCCTAAATGTAATTTCAGTATTAGCCACCGGTGGTTGACGCATCCTAAACAGAATGTCCAGTGTCAGCCACCGATGGCTGACGCGGAGCTCAACGTTTTAACCATCGATCCTCATAGAAAAATTCAATTATATCATTCGAGAGGGACGTTTTAAGAATCAAATTTTTCATAGGTTGTCGTTGTATCCATATCAACTAGCTATTGATAAAACTTAAACTGACAGGCTTTTTTGTCAAATACTTTAAAAATAACATCAGCGATATTTTCTAGCTTATAATTAACGAATTTGTTTATTGTGCGTTTCTTAATAATCAAATACTTTTTAAAAGTTATGCAAGATAAACTTAATATCCACCTGAACGTGATAGATTATGAAGCGTAAACAAATAAGTATTCCTAAAAGTTATCTGAAAAATCACGTGCTTATATTGTTTAAGGTAAATCTTTAAAAAAGTGTTTCGATAAAATTAAATGTTTTAAAGTCAATGCTATTTGAAAAAAATATATACTTTGCATTGAAAAGCAAAATTAAAGCAAAAATTGTGTAATTCGTTTAAGAGAAAGTAAAAACAAACGTTCTTAGAAAAAAAAACCAAGCCAATCGAAGTTAACACGTTGAGCGCCCAGCCATCGGTGGCTGACACTGGACTTTCCATTTAGGCTGCGTCAACCACCGGTGGCTGACACTGAAATTACATTTAGGCAGCGTCAACCACCAGTGACTGACACTGAAATTACATTTAGGCCGCGTCAACCACAGGTGGCTGACACTGAAATTACATTCAGGCTACGTCTGCCACCGCTTGCTGACACTGACCTTTCAAATAGGCCGCGAAAAAGAGCTAGCTGACAGCGTATAACATGACATAGAACTATAAAATTTACACTCTTTTATGGAATTGCAGAAAATTTATTCAAAATTTACTTAATTATTGTAATTCTTAGTTTAATAAATTCAATTTAGTAGATTTTTATCCACCACTACTTTTAAACAATTCGTAGGCTGATATGATTCACCACTTTTCATAGTTATGTCATGTGATCGCCGACTCGAGAGTATCCGCCCCTAGTTTTATACCTAACTTATCCCTTCTATGAGCACGACAACAAGTATAAACTTACGTCAACCAGTGTTTCTGCTATTTCTCTTGCTTTTTATTGCTACAAACACAGCACTCTAGTCGCCCACGGGCATCAATACAGACGAAGAAGTGGAGTGCGTTGTACTACATCTAAGCCTAACAGTTATGTCATGATAAACCTTCTAAAAAAATAGCAAAATCCGTATAAAATTTGAAAATTTAGTTCGTAGTTATTTACCGTGACCAGATGGGAAAGTCATGTAAAACTAGCGTGGCGTTCAACGTGCTAATCAAGCGAATTAGTTGGAGCCCCTAGCGGGGCTGATGCTAAGATAACCAACACATATGAGTAATGAGTATGAGTGCTAATCAAGCAACTTTGATGCCTAAGATGCTTTATTTTTGGTAACAGACTGGGAATCTTGACAACTTCAGAAAGTTGTCTTTGTCACCAGTTCACCTGATTTTTCATTAAAACCCCGGGTTTTACATAGTTTTTCGTAAGAAATCGGGCTTTTTTTTTAAACATTTTTCAAAAATATTTCAAGTTTTTATTCCTGAGTCTTTAATGAAATTGCGGAATTTTATAACTATTTATCACTTGTTTTCTCTCAATTTTTTGGGGAAAATTTTGATTGATAAGCTTTTATATTTTTATTTCTAACAACAAACAAATTGTTACATAAGAATTTTAAATTTTTTCAATTAAAAGATCAGCTAATTTCTTATTTTGTTAACACAGATTTAATTCCAGTGTATATTAGAATAAAATTTAAATTTTTGCTCCGTTACCATTGCAAGTTAATCTACAATTTTTATTTTTAAATTCTTATTTAACTTTTGGTTACTATAAAATTATTTAAATATTTTTCACTTAACTGATTGTTTAGAAATTTTGTGTAAAGTTTAACCATAATAACAATACCGTTTGACTTATTTGTATAACAAATTTTGATTAGAAACTGTTTTTGATAAAGTTTATATTAATGGTAAATATAACTTAGTAGTTGTTTATTAATCACAAAATAATTAAGTTACATATTGTTTTCTATATGCTTTTCATGAAATGGTACATAAAAATGTGATAGTACAGGATTACTTTGTATGTTAAAATAATTCCAATTTTAGTTTTAAAATCTTAATTTGTAATACTAATATAAATCAAGTAGTAATAATAGTAATTAATAACTTCAAGATAGGGTGATATATAATTACAAGTTATGAATAATTGAATAGTTTAAGATCGAATAAACTTCTCAATGTTTTTCCCTAAAAACATTTTTTTTAACATAAAAATAAATCCAGATTTTCAATTTCTGTATTTCACAACTTAGAAAAAAACTTTTTTATCCAAATTCCATTGTAATTACATTATAAAAAAAGTGAATATTCTAAACTTATTTTATTGTCAGATGAAAATATCCTGGAAGTTCTTTCAGCTAAGCAGGTAAAAATGTGTAGTAAAATACATTTGTAACTAAGAATATGTCTGTAAAATATGTTTATAAATTATAATTGCATGACAAATTCGAAAAAGATTCTTCCACTTACTAATTTATAAATTACATTTTCCCCCCGCAGATTTAGTTCTGATTTAGATATTATAGACACTGAACTATACGGTCATATTGAAGGTGTGATAAATTGCATCTTCTTCATTTTTGCATCATTTTACATAATTGGAAGAAATGCCCCCCTTTTTCTGACATCGCTTCTGCCACTTTGCATCATTTATTATATTTTTCTGGTAAGTTTCTTTTGAAATTTCTTAAATTATAACCTGAGAATGATTTAAGTTTTATCTTATAACATCAAATCTAATCATAGTTCTGTTTTTAATCAGTAAATAAAAGGCTCAAGTCTCCCAAAAAACCATCATCTTAATTTGCCTCTTAATTCTTAATTGATAATTAGCATCTTATGCATACTTCGTAGAAGTTTAACCAGATGATATCTAAAGTGGTAGACTAAATTCTGTTGAAATAAACAGATTTTGTCAATTCTTTGAAACGTAATGATTTGGAAGTTTACAATGATGCTGAAGGCGATCAAAATGTAAAAAGTGGTAGAAAATAAAATTATTTTAGTTTACTTATTATCTCTTTAATTATTCAATCGTAACTACCTCTACGACTTAACATTTCAAATTATTCATATTAAAAACATTCTTTACAATCACTTTCAATAAAAAACTGGAAAAAAATGCTAGATAACATTGTCAATTTTAATCTCTTTTAATAAAGTTTAAAGCAAACTGGTTTACCTTCACAGTGGTCTGATCGGACTACGTACAAAAAACCGCGTGGAGCCTTTTAGTTACAGTTTCGTTGCTAGAGCTGTCAAGTACTACACTTTTTGTAAAGTATTTTATGAAATGGTAAGAAATTATAAGCTAATGCTTCAAAATGTTTGGCAATTTAGCTAGCATTTTAAAAGCCTCACCTGGAATTGCTGTTTTTTATAAACTTATGAAACGTTTTAATGCAGTATAAGAAATACCTTTAAATCAAATTTGCAAAACGAGGAATATATCAATCCCGCACCATCATTTGCCATGTAATTTCTTCAGTTATTTAATTTAAAAACATAAAAACCGGTGTCACAATAATTTCATTCTTAGTTTTATCTGGGAAATACATAGCTTGCATATCCCCAAGTTATATCTTATAAGCATAAGGCCATAAATTTTAATCTATAATCTTGGAATAGTGTTTTTTTAAAAGACCCAAAAAGTAGCTGACATAAGAAGATTCCTGTATAGTTGTAGCATTGGCGAACTACCACTCTATTTGTAGTAGCACTTTTCATGTAATTGCAATACATACCATACGGAGCCAACGCATATAAACTTAGCTATCACTAGAAAAACTTTTTCCAAAAGGACAGAAGGTTGGCAGCCCTACGTCCAAAGTTTCAAGTTTCTAATATAATGACTGATTAATTCCTTTCCGTGCACTGACTAGCATATTTTTATCAATATCCGTCAGAGTAGCAATGTTCTTAGAAATGGGCGTACGTAAACTTTGACCTTCACAAGAAAACTTTGGGGAGTGTAAAAAATTTGCCTTTCTCAAATTTATGCAATCTCAAATAACAAGAAGTTTCTAATTCAAAACTGATAAACCAGTTCCGTCCATACGTTGACTAGCATGTTTTTATCAATATTGTTATATCAATATCTAGCATGATGTATCAATATCGTATGGATTGACTAGGTTTACCTATGTGATAGGTGTCACACGTTAAACATTTATGGTATGTGCCAGAATCTTGGTAAGTCTTTGTATGTAATGTACAGTTTCATGAAGAAAAAATAACCACCCCGAATAACTTTTGATCCAATATCAACTTCTTTAAAATGATGTAAAGAATTGAATACCTTATAATTCAAAAGTTTTTTCGACTGTAGTTAAATAAAATAATAATAATCTATATACATATACACAAAAAGTTATTTTTTCATGAACTTATCTTTTAACAACCGAATTGTACAATGTAGTGTAGAAAGTTTTCAATTGGCTTAATTATTTCTCAAGATATAGGGAAAAAAATCAAAAAATAAAACTAACATTAAAGGAACCAAAGTTTAGACTGCCTTCCGGCCCAAACTATTGGGACCATATTTCCCAGAGAGCGACTACCCCATATATTTCGGGAGTCTGGAATCTGAATTCGTCAAAAAAAAGTATATTTAATCAGAGAAAGTACAATTTGTTTCTGAGTTTTTTACCTAAAATAAAGTCTTCTCTAATTGATAAGCATATTTGAGGTCAACCACTTAAACCGTTAAGATGGAGTCCCAGAGCGGAAAATCAGATCATTAGATCAAAAGTTATTCAGGGTGGTCCGTTTATTTTCTCATTCTCTGTACATGTAAATACGCATAAATATTTTTTTGAAACAAGAGAAATCATTAAGGCTAACCTTGCATATTTGCTTTTGAACCCATTATGCATTCCAACTAAAATTATATAAGGTTCATTCAAAATTACACATTGCATAATTGTGTTAAAATAATGATGTGATTTTCTTTTTCAGAAACTACATTTGAATGCTTATCGTCAAATCAGAAGATTGGAATCGACAACAAAATCACCCATCTACAGTCAGTTGTTGGAATCCATTCAAGGAATCTCTTCAATTGGAGCTTACAAAGTTCAAAAAGAATTCGTTGAAAGTTTTGAGAAGAAATTAAACAATCATATGGTTTGCTTTTGTTTAACCATAGGAAGTAATAGGTAATGAAAGAGTTTGAATTTTAACCTAACAAAATCCCTGATAAAACGAATCATTTTGACTTTCAAAATAACATTGTTTTCATCCTGTACCTCTGTACATACCATCCGGTGAAATACGCGTTCAAACCAGCTCTCGAATAAGAAAGCTCTCACACACAATTTGGCAAACTGAATAAGAAAAACTAAACAATATTTTTCTTGCTCGATGTAAAGAAGATTACAAAAGCTATGCAGATAATTTTGGTTATTCCCAGTTTCCTTGGAAACCATTAAATAAACTAGTTGAAAAAATTAAAAAAACGTGATGACTTGATGTCTCGCTCCAATATTTTTTGTGAAAAGTAAATTAATGGTAAATATTCCTATTTCTCATTACCACTTTTTTAGTCAATTAAAAAAGAATATAGAATAAAAAATAACTAATTAAATAAGTTGAGTATAAAATCTGACGCAATAAATTAATTAAAGCCCCTCGCAGGGTTGATGCTAACATAATTACCACATATGGGTTTGGGTAAGTAATAGGTTGATTGAAATTAAATTAAAACATTTCATTTTTAAATCCGATAAGTGATATTTTTTTTGTGCATATGTATATTTAAGACTAGTATACAATTTAAAATATGAAATTAAATATGCGTTAATGCAGTATCATTTATAAATTGTGTTCAATTATAGTTTTTAACACGTTGCACGCCACTCTAATTTTGCATGGCTTGCCCATTAACCCCTTGGGAACGGTTGATTCTGAAAAGCATTCGTACAAAATCAGGATGAAATTAAATAAAAAACGGTAACTTAAATGTAGTCGTTGCTAATTTGACAGACTTACTTTGTTTTTACTTTAATTATTGTTAGTTTAATCATATATATAATCATTGTTAATTCAAAGTATAACTAAATAGTTTTATTTTGAGCAAAGTAATGGTGAATTAAATAAATCAAACAATTACAACTCCGACCACAAATAAACAGCTAAAGAATTTCTTTGATTACCAGTTTTATCTTTTTATCCTGGTTGATACGGTTTTATGCTAGCACGTATTTGTGACAGTCGTCCCGAAAGGGTAAAGCCACGGTAAATAACTACAAACTAAATTTGCAATTTTTTGACGGATTTTGCTATTTTTTAGAGGGTTTATCATGACTTAACTGTCGAAAGTGGTGATTTATATAAGCCTACGAATTATGTAGAAATAGTGTTGGATAAAAATCTACTAAATTGAATTTATTAAACCAAGAATCACAATAATTAAGCAAATTTTGAATAAATTTTCTGCAATTCCTTAAAAGAGTGTAAATTTTATAGTTCTATATCATGTTATTCGCTGCCAGCCAGCTGTTTTTCGAGGCCTATGTGAAAGGTCAGTGTCAGCAAGCGGTGGCAGACGCAGCCTAAATGTAATTTCATTGTCAGCCACAGGTGGTTGACGCGGTCTAAATGTAATTTCAGTGTCAACAATCGGTGGCTGACGCGGCCTAAATGGAAAGTCCAGCGTCAGCCACCGATGGCTAACGCGGCGTTCAACGTGTTAAAATGATCTTTTTATATCTATTATATTTGGAAACGGGAATAATAACTAAAAACTGCTTATAAGTATGAAGACAAGAAGGAATATGATCTCTGCATAGAAAAGAAAAGAGAAATAAACAATGCGAGGATAAGACCGAAAACATTTAACTAGACATCATAAAAAATTAATAAAAAATAAAAACACCAACTGTTAAAGATCATTGATAAACATATAATGTGCTTTATAATGGAATATGCAATAAACAATACTTTTTCTTGAAAACAATTATTTCAAAAGCTAGTTCATTTTGAAAAAAAAAAAAAAAAAACAAAGGACATTTTTAGTATGAATTATAGTAATTACAGTTTCACATTTAGCAACAAAAAAAAGAAACCACTATTTGTAAAGTTGAAACAAATGCAATAAAAATAAAAGTAATAAAAGAAAAAATAAAAGTAATAAATAAAATTTTTCAGGAAAGAAAATTTTTGTAAACTGTTTTTTTCAACCCTTATTGTTTTGTACAATGCTTTTCTCCACGTAATGATTCATTTCATAATAGATTGCAAATTTACTCGATGATTTCTTTTCATAGGTGGTTTAATTTTTGGCTTGGTTTCCTCGGCAGTATCATCGTCTTTATTTCTGCCTTCCTTGCCGTCGATAATCGTCATAGTTTGACTCCTGCAGATGTCGGCCTGATGATAACTTATACTTTAAACGTATGCATGTAATCTAACACGTATTATAATTTTTGTAAAAACTTTTTGAGTGCTCCTCACACAAATAGATTGATATATTTTGCTTTGGCTATATTGATACAATATTAGAAAGCATTTTTTTTACGGATATAATCGTATGGGCTGATGAAAAGATTATATCTTTAATTTTCCGAATTTTTTAAAAGAATTCTATCTTTTTTGGATTTTTTCCCTCCAGTGTTTGTTATTTTTATTTTTATTATTAATTTTCTTTTCCCCCCTTTTTTCATTAGTCTGAAATTTTCCTTTGATTTATCTTCATTTTGAACTTATTTTATGAGTTCTATTTACTTGCAGCTTATACGCAATAAATGAAACTTATTGTTTTTCTTAATTTTCATCGTGTTTTTTCTGTATTTATTTATTATGATATATATATATATATATATATATATTCCTTTA